CACACACACACACACACACACACACATATATATATTTGAATCTGCCTAAAATAAATTTATTTAAAGAAATTAAATCTCCAAGAGATACACTTCCCACCAAACGACAACACAGCCACCACACAGTGGGCTGACAAGCATTGAACAGCGAAATCCAGCAGATATTTATGAAAGCAATGACCCAGATATTAAACAAAGTTGTCTAGGTAATAAAATAAGAGGAGCTCCTTCCCTACGCATTTTATGAGGTCTGTATCACATATTTTGTTTTAAGAGAGTTAATACCTATTCTTCTTAAGCTATTAGATAAAACAGAAGAGGAAGGGAAACTTCCAAATTCACTCTACAAAGCCAACATTACTGTCAAAATCAGATAAAGACACTACAAAAAACAAAGCTATAAGCCAATATCTCTGAAGAACACAGATGCAAAAATCCTCAACAAAATATTAGCAAACAGGGACACCTGGGTGGCTCAGTTCATTAAGGAATCTGCCTCCAGCTCAGACCATGGTCCTAGGATTGAGTCCCACATTGGGTTCCCTGCTCCGTGGGAAGCCTGCTTCTCCCTCTGCCTGCTGCTCCCCCTTCCTATGCTCTCTCTCTCTCTCTGACAAATAAATAAAATTCTTTTAAAAATATTAGCAATCACAATTCAGAAACACATTAAAATCTCATTTACCACAATAGAGTGGAATTTATTCCAGGAATGCAAGAGTGGTTCATTACTCACAAATCAGTCAATGTGATATGTTCCATTAACAAGAGGAAGGATAAAAACTATATGATCATCTCAACAGATACAGAAAAAGCATTTGACAAAGTACAATATACATTCATAATAAAAATCATCAGCAAAGCACATTTAGCAGGAAAATAACTCAACATAATAAAGGCCATAATGAAAAACCCACACTTAGTATTATACTTGAAGGTGAAAAACTGAGATCTCTTCCTCTAAGATCAGAAATAAGACAATGATGTCCGTTCTCACTACTTTTATTCAACATAGTACCTGAAGTCCTAGCTGCTACAATGAGACAAGAAAAAGAAGTAAAAAGATATCCAAACTGGTAAGGAAAAAGCCAAACTATCACTAGTTGCAGAATAACACAATATTACATGTAGAAAACCCTAAAGACTCTACTAAAAAATTTCTAAAACTGTTAAGTGAATTCAGTAAGGTCACAGGATATAAAATCAAGTACAGAAGTCTGTTGTGTTTCCATACACTAATAATGAAGCAGAAGAAAGAAATTAAGAAAACAATCCCATTTATAATTTCATCAAAAAGAATAAAATATCTAGGATTAATTTAACCAAGAAGCTGAAAGACCTATACTCAGTACACTGTAAGATATTGATGAAAGAAACTGAAAATGATACAAAAGAATGCAAAGACTTAGCACGTTCGTGAATTGCAAGAATTAATATTGTTAAAATGCCCATAATACCCAAAGCAATGTACAGGTTTTAGGTAATCCCTATCAAAATACCAATAGCTTTTTTCACAAAGCTCGAACAAATAACCTAAAATAGTGGAACCACAAAAAACTTTATAGTCAAAACAATCTTGAGAAAGAAGAACAGGGCTGGAAGTATTATAGTCCCAGATTTCAAGATATAGTACAAAACTATAATAAACAAAACAGGATGGTATCAGCACAAAAACAGACACATAAATCAATGGAGCAGAATAAAGGGTCCAGAAATAAACCCATTTCTATATGGTTGATTAATCTATGACAAGGGAGTCAAGAATATACAATGAGGAAAAGACAGTTTTTTCAATAAATAGTGTTGGGAAAACTGGACAGCTACATGCAAAAGAATAAAACTGGGCCACTTTTTTAAACCATACACAAAAATAAATTAAAAAGTAGAAAAAAACATAGGTAGTAATCTCTTAGACATCACCCCTAGCAACATGTTTATGGGTATATCTCCTCTGGCAAGGAAACCAATCCAAAAGTAAACTACTGGAACTACATCAAAATAAAAAGCTTTTACACAGCAAAGGTAACCATCAAGAAAACAAAAAGGTAACCTACTGAATGGAAGAAGATATTTCCAAATGATATATCCAATGAGGGGTTAATATGCAAAATACACAAAGAACTTATAGAATTCAAAACCAAAAAGATAAACCATTTGATTAAAAAAAATTGTCAGAGAATCTGAATACAAATGGATACATAAAAAGATGCTCAACATCACTAATCATCAGAAAAATGCAAAACAAAACTACAATGAGATACCACCTCATACCTGTCAGAATGGCTAGTATCAAAAAGACAAGAAATAACAAGTATTGGTGAGGATGTGGAGAAAGGAGAAATTACAGGCACTTTTGATGGAAATGTAAATTGCTACAGCCACTGAAGAAAAAAGTATGAAAGTTCCAAAACTAGAACTACCATGTGACCCAATAATTATACTATGGATTATTTACCCAAAGAAAATGAAAACACTAATTTGAAAAGATATATGCACTACTATGTTTATTGTATCATTATCTACAATAGCCAAGATATGGAAGCAACCTAAGTGTCCACTGATAGATGGATGGATAAAGAAGATGTGGTATATATATATAATAGAATATTACTCAGCCATGAAAAGGAATGAGACCTTACCATTTGTGACAACATGGATGGACCTAGAGCATATTGTGCTAAGTGAAATAAGTCAGAGAAATCAAATACCATATGATTTTCCATTTATGGAGAATCTAAAAACACATAAACAAATGAACAAACAAACAAAAACAGACTCTAAAATACAGAGAACAAACTGGTGGTTGCCAGAGGGGAGGTGGGTGGGAGAAAGGATGAAGTAGATGAAACAAGTAAGAGGTACAAACTTCCAGTTACAAAATAAAGTCATGGAGATAAAACGTACAGTGTAGGGAATGTAGTCAATAATATTGTAACAGTTGTGTGGTGATGGATGATGACCAATTATCACACTGAGCACTGAGGAATGTAGAGAATTGCAGAATCACGGTGTCACACACTGAAACTAATGTAATGTTGCACATCAGTTACACTTCTATAATGAAAATAAATAATTTAAGGTAGCCATACTAGACTTCCTACAAATCAAAACAAAACAAAACAGAGACAGATTAGGAAATTACTAGAAAGCTGGTGACATATCTACTATAAAATCAAATTTTACATTGTAGGAAATCTAACATTGTACAAAATTATACACTGAAAACACAGGATATACAGGAAGACAATGACTGGGAAAGACCCCTTACCATGGAACTTTGTAATCATAGCATCAAGAACATAATGATGATATCAATAAAAACACAGCCATAATATGATATTTCTCATTTTTTCCCAAATACCATAGTCAATCATTTGCAGCCTTCCTGTTAAGATTTAGTATTTCATCCTCTGAGATGAAGATCCTAAAGGGAATTTCTTCTAATAAAGCACTTTATCACGAAAATTAAAACCTAAGGCATACTTTTCACTAATCTCTTCTTTTAACGCAGGGGGAAAGTCCTAACAGAATCTTCTATACTCACAGCTCAGTCAGATATCTTGGTGCACTGAAAAGCAATTTTTTTAAAATGTTTTAAAGGCACCTAACTGCCACTATCAACACTAAAGGGAGGTTCTTCTGTATATTTTCCTATTCCCTTGGATTTGTAAAGAGTTCTCTAAAATTTAATAAGGTTTCCCCCTGACTGCTTCAAACCTTAACATGTTAGGAAAAAATTACACATAAACCAAAACAATTTTAAAAACTTTACTGGCATCATTCCACCATTAATTCCTACTGTGGTGATTCTGTTCCAAGAAATACACTGTGGGGGAACATTTGACTTGCATGTTCCATGGAAGAGAAAATAAGCAGAAAAGCAGAGGGCGATAACTCAAAACTTTCTGCCCCACACTGCATTTGCTTTTTAAAAGGTCAGAGTATTTTTCCCACTCCAAGGACAGCTTAAATCTTAAATCTCTCTCCTCTACCTATCCCTCCTATCCCCGCTTTCTCCCAGTCTAAAACAAAACAAAACAATACCGCTCAGAAGAATAACCCATTAGAAAGAAATTAAACTACAAGAGAATCATCAGAAAGCTGTTTAAAATCTCTTTGCATTCTTTGCATCTGATAGACCATTTTAATGTCATAATCAGAGTCCTGATGATGAATGTTTGATACCAAAACATTTGTAAAGTCTATTTTTTAAACTTGATATCAAAGTGGAAATCATTTAAGGAATAATGTGAATAATGAGGTTTATCTATTGTTTAAGTGTCTCAAAAAATAAAAAGAAGGTATGGACAAATGAAGGAATGAGAGAAGGAAAAAGAAAGTAGGAAAGTCTAAAGTGATTGACTTGGGATTCAAAATAAACATAATTTGTGAGACTGGTCAAGGAAAATGTATCATTAATTAGTCATGGTTTAATAGTCCTAATTAACTAACTGCATTCAAGAAAAAAGGTGGAAAGAGAAATGTGGCGGAGGAATTGTAGAAAATTAAGTAGTTGTGTAACAAGACAAAGAAAATACGTATTTTGTAGGGTTCTCTGAATTTAAAGGTTATAATGAAAGCTGTTCCAGTTTATTTCTGTTCAACTCTACATTACTTTAAGATAATCCTAAATAAATTTTTCATTCTAGTTTGGCTCTTCCTAGCATGAGGTCAATTTCTAGCAACCTTCTTCTTCGGCTCCTGTAATGTCATTGGGTAGATAGATGAATTTATGAAATGAAAAATATGTTTTAATATTAGCACAAGCAAAGTATAATTAAACAGGAAAATGAACTAGAGAGGTATGAACTAATAACACTATCAAATATATAAAAGTGGGATTATCTACTCTTTGAAATTCTCAACATTGCAATTCCTTTCCATTGGTACATAACTGAAGGCAAAATTGGCATGTGATCAATATTCCAAAAGCTGTTGCAAGTCTGTAAGTGGGTTTGCATCTATGCTTTGATTTATATATAGAATTTGCCTGAAAAATATCTTACCTCATTCTGGAGATCTCGTATCATTTTGCTCTTTCTTTCCATGTCAGTCTTTAAAAAATTAATCTGAAAATGAATGGAATATTATTTAAGCACATTTCAAATTCATTCCTATGGCTTTTATCAATTTATTTTCATGGTTTTTGAAGCATAATACAATGATTATCTCTTTATCAACAAATACTGCAAAAGAGCAAAGGATTAAAATTTTCATTAACCAAACTTTCATAACCAATTCATACATATATGCATTAATTATAAAAAAGGCTCTTCTCAAGTACAAAGGATTTTTTTTAATTGAGAAACCATGCATATTATAACTGTGATTCCCTTACCTACTTAAACTCAATTAAAAAAATGTGTTTAAAAAAAAAAAAAGGCCGAACAGCAACAACAAAAAGCTAGATTCTAGGGTTGGGCCTAGAAATCTCCATTCATAAAACACTCTGCAGGTAATTTTGACCTATAGCAGGTTGGAAAGCAATGGCCTAGTGATATTCCTGGTCATTAAAGAACAGAATGTTATAATACTGTACCAAAGAAACCATGTTTCTTCTGAATTTGATATTGTTGGAATCTGTAATCTTGGTCAGTTGTTCAAACTATGCTTATACAAACATAGCACCTTTGCTGTCTGAATATATCTGCCTAAGTATTTTGAAAAAAAAATTCAGTATAGCATAGTTGTTAAAATCTAAAACTTTATAGTCAGTGAGAGTTCACTCTGATAAAAAGTACCTTTATGATAGTGGATAAAATATTTAATTTCTCCAATTTTTAATTTCCCGGTAGTCACATTTTTTTAAGTAAAAGGAAACAGATAAAATTAATTTTAATAAAATGTTTTATTTAATTCAATCTACTCAAAATATTATTAGTTTGACATGTAATGGATTAATGATACAATTGACATTATTTTTTACAGTATATCATTAAAATCCACTGTGTGTTTTACACTAATAGCATATCTCAATTTAGCCTAGCCATTTTATAATGCTCAATAGCCTTATGTAGCTAGTGTTTATATATACTGGACAACACAGGCTCTGAGGATCCCTGGAATGATACAAAAGAGACTGGGATTGTGGGTTATCTCTGGAGATACACTGAATCAGAGGAAATCAAGTTTAGGAGTAAAATGAATTTCACCATATATACGGATTGAAAAAAAAATAGTTCTGAAACATTTCAAACATAAACAAAAGACCAAAAAGTAATATGTTAAAACACCTCTGAGCTCAAACCTAAGAATAAAGAAATGTAAACATTTTGCCCAATTTTCTTGTAAAAAAAAATTTTACACCTACTATTAAAGCCCCATCTAATTTTTCTTCCTTCACTCTCCAGAAATTATTGTGTATGAGTCCTGTGCATGTTTTCCTACGTTTTGCTTTCTGTGTATTGTGTAAATCCTTGTTAACAAACATTAACATCCCCTCTTTTCTGGCTTGTATAGAGGTCCTTAAACAATTCCTTCAAATGGTAATAGAAATCTAAACCAATTCTGGATGCTCAAACTACGTGTAAAACAAGCAGAAGCCTGAGAACTACCACGGCCATTGTTTTGGTCATCATAATTTTCAAGTTAAAATTTAACTCTGAAGATAATGACAGCAACCTGAAAACATAAGTCACACTCTGTCCCACTGAGAAGATAGTTCTATTCTGCTGAAAATGCAAAGGAATGTAGGATGTGGTGGTGTTCAAAATTAGATGTGTATGCAGCCCAGTAGGGTATGCCCCAACAGACAGCTTTTGCACCCATTTCTACTGCTGTGTACCGCCTCAGTGTACAGATAACCAATCTTGGGGCCAGACCAGCCTTTGCGGTTCTTAATATGATGGCAAGATACCCTCAGCAATATTACAGCAGGAAACTTTGAAAATTAAAAAAAAGAAAGGTTTATGACTTACAAGTCCTGGAAATTACAGGTCACACCTGGGGCCACACAGTGAGGCTATGGATCGAAAGAGCCAGGGAGAGTGAAGGCCTGAGGTTCTGCTTTTATTGGGGTAGAGGGTAGGGGCCTGCCTAGGGTTTCCTGGGATCACTTTTTAATTGGTGAATTTAAAACATAATAACACAAGAGGAGAAAAAAACCAGCAGCCTAAATGGTCAAGTACAGAAGTCAACCAAGATCTCCAAAGGAGCCTGAGCTACTTTGGAGCGTAGAGCCTGGGAGGGCAGCACCTGGCCTGGGCTCCCCTAGTCTTGGGGCTGGCCCTGTGTGTATTTCAGATGGCCGTCCTAGAAGCGAACGCCTGCAAGTCACGGCTTACTTCAGCACTTGCATTACGAGAAAGAAAAGCCAGCTGTCAGAGCTTATACTACATCCACCCAGGCACGTTAGAAATTTTGGTACGTTACAGATTCGTCTTTAAGTCATGAACGACTTAAAGCCACCTTGCTTATATAAATGACCTGTTCTTCCACGGACCCACTATTTTTCCCAAATCATCACATTTTTATATTATTCAGTATATATAATACATAATTAACAATTTTCAAATTATTATATTAGTTTTTACATCCAAACACAACAGAAGGGGTTCTCACACATTACTTCAAAACAACCTTTAAAAGTAACTAGAGGGGCGCCTGGGTGGCTCAGTGGGTTAAAGCCTCTGCCTTCAGCTCAGGGTCCTGGGATGGAGCCCTGCATCAGGCTCTCTGCTCAACGGGGAGGCTGCTACACGCCCCCCCGCCACCACCCCGCCTGCCTCTCTGCCTACTTGTGTTCTCTGTTAAATAAATAAATAAAATCTTAAAAAAAAAAAAAAAAAAGAAAAGTAGCTAGAGCATGTTTTTCTTTTTTCTTTTAAAGTAAACCCTACACTCAACATGGGGCTCAAACTGACCCTGAGATCGAGTTGTCTGCTCTACCAACCAAGCCAGCCAGACACCCCAAAAACTGACTTTAATTAAAGAGTAAAATAAAAACTGGGGCTCCTGGCTGGCTTTGTCAGTATAGCAGGCGAGTCTTGATCTCAGGGTTGGGAGTTTGAGCCCCACTCTGGACAGAGTTCACTTAAAAATTAAAAAAAATAAGGAGGATAATGAAAATATATTGCAATGTTAAGAATATAATTACTTAAACGTGAAACAAGGATAGAAAATCTTGAGAACACAATGCTCAAATATTCAAGAGCTAAAATATATTCAGAATATTCAAAAAATATTAGCATTTTGAAATGGTTAGTCTAGAATCCCAACAGGTTTTTAACAACCCTGGCAAAATAGGCATTCCTAGTAGACATGAATTTAATTCTCAGAAACAGAAAATATCATTTACTTACTTTGAACAAAGAAGTAAGAACATAGCAATTCTTTAGTCTTAATGAGAATCAAAGCTAGAAGTTAATTTTTGCCTTTAGACTAATTATGTCTTACTTAGAGCACGTTAAGCCATAAAAATTAATAAGAGTAGTGAAATGTATCCAATGAGCATTAATATCTTTAACTACTCTGGTTACAGAGAATGAGAGCTCATTCTTCCTTGCTGTCTGTTAGGAGTTTTCATGAGGAACACAGGTTTGAAAGATATGCTATTCCATTATTTGCTTAGGGATAATAACAAATGTTCACATATTCATAAAAAGTATTTTCCCACAGAATTAGATCATGACAGCTTTATTGCTTCTTCAATTTAATATTTCTTAAGTTTATCTTCTTTTATATTTTTGTATTTTAAGTTTATTTTTTAGGTTTCATAACATTTTTACTATATACTTAACAAATGATATATTTGTAACATTTTTTGCATAAAATATACAATCTGTTATTTTTATGGAAAAAGGCATAGTAATTAGTTATGTAATCAACATAAGATTATCAGCTCTTAAATCTAAAATAGCACAATGTTTGCAGAATTAAATCCAGCTTTTCCTCTCTATTTGAGAGTGAAGAATTACAATTATCTTTATCTCTCCTTCTTACCCAACCTTCAATTACACCAACAGTCTAACAGAGAAAATAATAATTATTCACCAAAAATAAATGTTAAAAAATACAAATTAGTGGGTGTAAACCTGGGTGGTTCAGTGAGTTAAGCCTCTGCCTTCAGCTCAGGCCATGATCTCAGGGTCCTGGGATGGAGCCCCACATGGCGGGGGGGTCTCCTCAGCAGGGAGCCTGCTTCCCCCCCCACCTCTGCCCATCTCTCTGCCTACTTGTGATCTCTCTCTTGTTAAATAAATAAAATCTTTTAAAAAATTAGTTTAATTCTTAGTTAACCTAGAATTTCCAAATGGGGAGAACAAGCACAAAACATTCTGTTTGAGTCTACCAAAATTTGGAAGAAGTAATTCCCAGTACTATGAAATCTCTCTTCTAGATCCCACCAAATGCACAAAACAAACAAACAAACAAACAAATAAACAAAACATTATTTTAATAAGAATATCTCAATCCCATATTTGTTGAGGTTGCAGTCATCTCTTTTTCTCCTTCTACACTCTAAGTTAAAACATATTAGTCATTCAGCTGGAAACACTGAACAAGTACTCTTGGTGACATGCTTTTCAAAAACAAACTAACCAACCCAGGACCCTGAAGCTCAGCCACCCCTTTGTACTGGCATGTTCTCACAGACCAAGCCATTACACACCTGCCCTAATCATCCCAGAGTCAGATACCAGACAACTAGGGGCATTCCCTATGCCCCAGAGCCTGCTGAGATCATTCACTTGGACTCCTTCTAAGCTGCTTCCCCTTCCTCACACATCTTCCCCAAAGAAACCACAATGAAGGCTCTTGCCCGCAGTTTCTCACCTCCCTCTGCCTCATGACCTACCCGAAGACTTCCCTGGACATTCACCTGTCACAAGTCATGCCACCCCCCTGAGAACTGTGAGAAATAAACTGAATTCTCAATGATGGTCATTTCCTGATTGGACGAACTGTACCTTAAATTTTCCATTTATATATTATATTTTAAAATAGAATCAGGTCCTAGAAACAAGATAAAAGGTCCAGTCCCCATAAATGGTATGTAAGATGGTTCTGGAGAATAAAGTAGATATGCAGGGAGAAAATCTGGAGAGAAGTTTGATTCTCAAGCCTTGGGGTGTATCAGAATCACCTGTGGAGTTGATTAAACAGGTAGTGTATGTCCCCACCATGGAGAGATTCCTGTTCTGTAGATGAGGGGTGGGGATACAGTGAAGAAAATGCAGTCACCAAGATCATAAAAATACTTGGTCGGCATTCATTCCAAGAAAAGATTTTTGTTGTATTTGATTGTTGGGGTCTTCTAATTCCCAGCCCTCATTTATTGATGAAAACAGAGGTTGAGAGTGGGACAAAAGTGCTGGTATCAGCCCCACACCAATGGATCCTGAATTACGGCATATAATGACCTTGCCTGTTTAATCAACTCCACAAATAATTCTGACACACCCCAAGGCTTGAGATTCAAACTTCTCTCCAGATTTTCTCACTACATTTCTACTTTATTTTCCAGAACCATCTTATATACCATTTATGGGGAGTGGACCTTTTATCTTGTTTCTAGGAACTGAGTCTATTTTAAAAATGATTTCCCAGCCCCAGAGCAAAGGACACGAGAAACAAACATACTTACAGTAGCTTGTTGTTTTTCTGCTTTCTCGGTTGTCTCTTTAAGTTGATTTTGCAGGACCTCCTGGAGAGACTTCATTTGTTCTCTAGGAGAAAACAGAGAGCAAAAGAGAGACATAATTCTGTTATTTCCTCTGTACATTATGAAAGGAGGCTTTGCTGTCCACATACATTTAGGAAACAGATAACAAGAATTGTATGTAGGGACACACTTAAGCATGCAGGATTTATTTGAGGATTCTAAGAATAAAGTTTTCTCTTCCATGCAAATACTAAAAGCAAGCTATATTTAAAGGAAATTGCCTTGCTATTGTGTCTAGTAAGAATCCCACTGTGTGAATCATCTGTGAACTGCATAATGTGTTAAATCAAATCAACGTAATAATTAGAGTTGAAAAGCTAATTTTAGTGACAGCATGCCAGGCTGTGAACATGCTGCTTAGAAAAAAAGTTGCCACGGACTTGCTGATAGGATAAAATTACAACTCCCCTTGGATGCTCCTAATTGATTAATTCTAAGGCAGTGTACTTTAGACATCCTTTATAAGGCCTGAGACTTTTTATAAAGATGAAGAGAAAAGACACTTATTTTGAACTTGAGGGCTGGCTCATTTACTGTGGTTAATAAGAGAAATACATGTCTGCATGTATATACACATTATGTCTCAAGCTCAGTAATGCACACGGATCTTGTCTCACTTGTTAAAAATATAAACATTTCCATAATTTTGCATTCCTCTCAAGGGTTTAGGATGGACTCATTTATGATAAATCATACTATCTTTGTGTGCCCCCATTTTATCACCTAAACTACCACTTCCAAAAGTTTTGATACCAGATGAGGGTTAATTTGTAAGTGTGTGTGTGTGTGTGTGTGTGTGTGTGTGTGTGTGTGTGTGTGCGCGCGCGCGCCCGTGCATGTGCGCATGTGCACACACGTATTTTATTCTGGCTATAGGAATAAACTCCTTTAAAGCAACAACAGCCAAACAGAAAGCTTTCCTAGCCTTACCAGCAGAACTAAAATTCATTTAACATTCCCAACCTAGTGCCAAAAGACTACTTCTACAACCTTTGTGTGCAACCACACTACAGAGACTAGGGAAAGGAGTGCACCCTCTTAGGCCCAATTTCTTCATCTATAAAATGGGTATACTAATAGAGCTATCTGATAAGTTTGTAATGAGATTTAGATGACATAATGTAGGCAAAATACTTAGTACAATGCCTGGAAAATAATCACTTAATAAACATGAGATCTCTGTCATAACCACCAGGATCACTGCAGGTCCTAAGTTCATTCTTTCACCACCACATCCTACACAATCTCAAACTGTTCTTTCATCCACTGGGATTTAATGATGCTCCCAGATTTCTTACTCTAGAAACCCTTAGGTCCCAGTCTCAATTTCAGGATATCAGTAAGAGTCTATATGATTGCTAAAATCAATTTGAACTTTGTTTGTCAAGGCAAAATAGAATTGGAACAAGTTATAAAATAATTATAGTCACTTTGTAGATGATTTATGTTTGTGTATGTGAAGCTCATAACATGCTTTTGCTTAGAGCATACTTAAGTCTCAGCTTCCATTCCTTCCTCAAATTTGTATCATTTATCAAGATTGTTTCATATATAGACATTTAAATTTAGACTTCCATTATTTTTTCTGCTATCTTCCACACAAAAATTTGTGGCATAATATAGTGTAGTAATGTCTACATATGTTATAGGCTTACAATGCATCAGACACTGTTAGAATGTTCACACCAAACTACGACGTACTACTACAGAGAGAAGACTGATACAGAGAAAGGTGGTGAAATTGTGTTCTAGAGCCTAAGTGTTCAAACTCTAGAGTCATTACACTACCTTCACAGAGAGAGGGAAAGAGGAGGGAAAGAAAAAAGGGAGGGAAGGACAGAAGGATCTACATGGTATCCCTAACACTCAGATCTTCAACAAGCACTGAATGAAAACACAAAATATTGTATTTCTAACTGATAAAAAAAATTATAGTAAGATTTTAAAATGATAATCATTTCATGATTATTTTTGAATTTTAAAATTATCATTTTAAATGATAGATATTTTTAAATTAAACTATAAAATAGTATATATTTTTTATTTTAAAAATGTGTGTGTGTGTGTGTGTGTGTGTGTGTGTATCCAAAATTCCCACATACATCAAGGAAAGCTAACAGAATGGTAAAGATGGTTTTTTGAAACTTCTGAATGTCTTTATATACACTTTGCCTTACAGCTTATTGTACATTCTCGTGGCTCTCATGAGAGCAACCAGTCTCTGCCTCACAGTCTTGCTAAATTATAATCCTATGAGAGAGGACTTCTGACTCGCTCATAGGCCCCCTCCATCAACAGGGATTTACCTCAACTATTGCAACTCCTCTAGGGTCTTATTTGGGATACCGAGCTGAGTCTTTAATTCTAAAGAACTCTTTGAACACCATCCAGATCAAAATACCAATGGCATTTTTCAAAGTGCTGGAACAAACAATCCTAAAATTTATATGGAACCAGAAAAGACACTGAATTGCCAAGGAAATGTTGAAAAAGAAAAACAAAGAACGGAATCACGTTGCCTAATTTCAAGGTACATTAAAAAGCTGTGATTGCCAAGACAGCATGCTACTGGCAGAAAAACAGACATAGACTAGTAGTACAGAATAGAGAGCCCATATATGTACCCTCAATTCTGTGGTCAACTAATCTTCAACAAAGCAGGAAAAAATATCCAATGGAAAAAAGACAGTCTCTTCAATAAATGGTGCTGGAAAAATTAGACAGCTACATATGGAACAATGAAACATGACCATTCTCTTACACCATACACAAAGATAAATTCTAAATGGATGAAAGACATCTAAATGGATGAAATAGGAATCCATAAAAATCCTAAAGGAGAACATAAGCAGTAACCTTTTCGACATTGGCCACAGCAACTTCTTTCAAAACATGTCTTCAAAGGTAAGGGAAACAAAAGCAAAAATGAACTTCTGGGACTTCATCAAGATAAAAGTTTCTGCACAACAAAGGAAACAGTCAACAAAACAAAAACGAAGAGACAACCCACAGAATGAGAGAAGATATTCACAAATGACACTACAAACAAAGGGCTGATATCCAAGATTATAAAGAACTTCTTAAACTCGACACCTGAAAAACAAATAATCAAGTCAAAAAATGGGCAGAAGACATGAACAGACACTTCTCCAAAGAAGACATACAAATGGCTAACAGACATATGCAAAATGTTCAACATCATTAGCTATCTGGGAAATTAAAATCAAAACCACATTGAAATACCAACTTACACCAGTTAGAATGGCAAAAATTGACAAGAAACAACAAATGTTGGAGAGGTTGTAGAGAAGGGGGAACCCTCTTACACTGTTGTTGGGAATGCAGTTGGTATAACCACTTTGGAAAACAGTATGGAGATTCCTCAAAAAATTGAAAATAGAGCTACCCTATGACCCAGCAATTACACTACTGGGCATTTACCCCAAAGACACAGATGTAGTGAAAAGAAGGGCCATATGTACCCCAACATTCATAGCAGCAATGTCCACAATTGCCAAACTGTGGAAGGAGCCAGGATGCCCTTCAAAAGATGAATGGATAAAGAGGATGTGGTCCATATATACAATGCAATATTACTCAGCCATCAGAAAGGACGAATACCCACCATTTGCATCAACATGAGTGGAATTAGAGGAGATTCTGCTAAGTGAAAGAAGTCAAAGAGAGAAAGACAATTGTCATATGGTTTCTTTTATTTGTGGAGCATAAGGAATAGCATGGAGGACATTAGGAGAAGGAAGGGGAAATTGAAGGGGGATAAAGCAGAGGGGGAGATGAATCATGAGAGACTATGGACTCCGGAAATCAAACTGAGGGTTTCAGAGGGGAGGGATGGGGGATGGGTTATCTCAGTGATGGGTATTAAGAAGGGCACGTATTACATGGAGCACTGGGTGTTATATGCAACAATGAATCATAGAACACTACATCAAAATCTAATAATGTATATAATTTTAAAAATTATTAAAAAATTATAAGAAAAAAAGAACTGATGATGGCTCCAGTGACACCTATGATAGGTTGCTCAGCGTGTTGAGCACATTTCTGCACAGAATTTCACTACAAGGGATTTGAAAGGGCAGTGGCTTCAGACATCTTCATATCAAATTATAAATATAAAAAACACACTCACCCAAATACACTACAGGAAGGCATTTTTTTTCAAGTGGTTACCAACTTGTATTGTAAAAACATCTCAGATGGAGCACTAACCTGCCTATTCTTTTTTGTTTTCAGAGAACACAGTATTTTACAATCCTTTGGTATACAGAGTCTAAAATTGCCTTCTAGGAATCTCCACCCACCAACCACAATAGTGAATAAAATGTCTTATCACTTTTTTTCCTAAGACAGTTTTCAGACACTTTAGGTTACCCTCCTACCCAGCCCCCAAGTCTCCATTTCATGGGTACACACTCTTGCTCCTCATATGGTATGTTTTAGATCTGGTCTTCTGCTATGAATATTATCTAGGCTGTCAAAATATTTCTGAAAGTGTAACACTCAAGAGTCAATACATTTGTGCTCACTCATTCCCTCCCACACACAGGTGCCCACAAAAATATGCATACACATTCCTTTCTCTGTCTCAACAGAAAGGCTTTCTTTGCTCTCTCTGCCTGGTTGTATATGGCCCACCCCATAACCTCTGAGTTTACTTACTTAAGTCTAGTTCCAGCTACACAGGGAGACTGATTAGATGCCTCTTGATTACAATTCCAAAAGGGAAATTCCAATTGATTTGGTTTTGTCTTGGTGATCACCTCTGACCTATTAACTGTGAGTGATGTTGGGAGTCACATTAAAGAAGCATGACTTCTTGAGACCACTTCTGCAGGTAAGTGTTAGGTGGCAAGCAGCCCAAAGGAAGCAGGGTTAGGAGGAGCAGGACATTCAGACAGATGGCATCTACAACACAGTGTGCTGTTCAGACTCAGATAATACTTCTAAATTTGCCATCAGTCAATATTTTTTAATATTCCAAAATAATACTCTTTTTCTTTGACGGTTTATTAGTATCTCTTCTTTTCAAAATGAGATACACAGCCTGCTTCACCTTCAGGGAACCATGATTTTTATATATCTCTTTCTAAGTAATCAACAAAAATTAATATATCTAATGTCATATCCTTCTGAGACATTACCTATTGTTAGAATTTACTGAGTTTTCTTTTCTGACTTCGTGTACATTACACAAGTTACACATTTTAAATAAGTTTTCAAACTCTGGATAAAACACTGAAATTGATCTTCTGCTATGAAGATTATCTAGGCTGCTTTGTGATCAGATAACTAACGTGAAAAGGTGTGGCTACTGGGTGAGACCAGTCGAGTAAATTCCACCTAATACAACTCTCTTCAACTCATTTAGGCCCTTTAAGCAACCATTTCCTATTAAACAGTGATAATCATAACTGTTTATAAGACAACAGTGAGGGTGAAATGGGAAAATATATATAAAGCATCTGGCAGAGCCTCTAAGTGTGTAACAAATAGTAGCTTGTTTCTACTTAAAGTATATTTCTTTTTCTTTTGAGAGGCAATTTCAAATCATATAGCTTTTCATACTGCATAGAAATCTATCTCACAATACACTTTCTTTAAAAAAACACAATCCAACACTAATAAGATTAGATTAATTCTACTTATATTGTTAATAAGATTATCCCATTCTTCACCATCCCCACCATTACCACCTTAATTAAGTTTTGATACTATTACATACTGCCCACTGAAATCAGTATTATTGCATATGTCTGTTGACCGGCAGACTTGCTGGGGTCTATCTTACTAAGATAATGGGGAAAATTCTACAGATATGTAAACATTCTGTGATCTGCAGACAAGCAACATAGCGTTATGATCACTAGCGAGCTTGCTAGAAATGCACAATTTCCAGCCCCACCATAGATTTACTGTATACAAACCTGCATTTCAGTAAGATTCTGAGCCCTTCAAGAGTCAGTAAGAAGAGAAGTGAATTAATGCATTTTGAATGACCCGATTTTTGTGAAATTTTTGAGTGGAGTTTGACACTCTGGGGAAAAAAAAAAGAACTGAGAAAATGAAAGGAAATCCAGTCTTACCTTTGTCTCTGACCTATTTCCAGAAGCTTCTCAACATCAGTTTTGGAAGATCTCTCATCATTTTTCAAAGACTGGTAAGAAAAGTGGGAAAAGAAAATCTTATTCAAGTGATAAATTGGGGCTCACTTTACTTTTGTCTCTATGGCACAGGTGTGACTGCTCTTCTGTCCTGAAACAAGAAGGTGCAAATGAGGCACGGTGCTCGTCAGGGCTCTAAGGATGCCCACAGGAATTTATGATACCAAGCACAGGTGCTACCCAGTGGTGAAAGGGAATAAACTGAGCCTCAGCCCTTAGAGGTTCGGTGGAGGGGAAAACGCTCTCCAATACCTAGGTCTCTTTACAAGTGAGTATAAAACACATCTTCTGCTCTCCAGCTGAAGTTTCATTGTGTTCTCTGCAGGCATGTCAAGCCAGCTCTGGCATCGTTTCTACAAATTCACACAGACGTAAAAGACCTTTCTGAATCTGCTAAGTAATGACATAATTCACGATCAAAGAAGCCCAAAAGCATGTACCTGTTTGGTCTTGTCTATTTATTATTAATGAGTAATGCAGCAGAATACACAGAAAAACTAAGGCTATGTAAAATTGTAACTGCTCTGACAAGATAGGGTATAAAGGGGGAAAAATAAAGTATCATCTCAGTCATTAGTGTTTATTTACTCTGGCGAATTCAACATCCACAGACCGTGACTTCAAGCAGAAAAGCGCACTGAGCTATTCTCATTACAGAATCCCTCCCATTAAGTCTTCCCTAAGAACTTTCTTATTTGTACTCAATAAACTATTTAACAGGGTAACCTTTCTTGATATTAGACGTTGAAACTGAGGAGGAGTGATATTGTTTGCAGGAAAAGCAGCTGTGGCAGGCAGAAAATTGACAATCTTAGGAATGGCAAATACTTTGTTTACTTAATATCTATTTAACAAATACTTATCATGAATTATGCAAAGTCCTGTGCAGAGGCACAGTGTCTGCCTTCACAAATTTTATAGTCTAATGCTAAAATCAGGCAACTTTCATACAGTGAAATCAGCATTCTGATTGGGATGTGATGGGCTGAATTGTATGAGAGAAACTTCTTTCTGGGAGCCTGGGTGGCTCAGTCAGTTAAGCACCTTCGGCTCACATCATGATACTGGGGTCCTGAGATCAAGCCCCGCATCTATAGCCTGGAGCAGGTCACGGAATCTGCTCTTTGACTTCCTTAGGTGAAGATCAGGGATGAGATTTTTGAAGTGTCTACTTTAGACAGTTACTGGAAAGCTCAGAGGACAAAACGGATGTGGAAAAATAGTTGATGGAAAATACATTAAAACATGCCTATTCATTTATTGACCATCTGTTATATTCTGGGCATTCTGAAGGAAACTATGATCAAGCAGATGACTGTCTTCAAGAAATTTAAAATAAAAAAACAAACAAATGAAAAAGAACATGAGATGCAGAAATGGAAAGTGCAGGTACAGACAGGAGTCAGCAAGATATATATTTCAGTAGGAGAGCCAGCGTGTTCTTAATTATCATTTACCCAGAAATGTCCAGGGAAGTGGAGTATACTTGGAAAATATTCTTAGTTCCTATAAGGATGTTAAAGGTTGTGATACCTACTAACTGATCAACATAATACTTATTGGTTGACCTGTGTTACCATCCATTACCATCCCATCCTGGGGCTATGGTTACAGAGAAAAGATTACAAGACTTTCAAAGCTCCTATCTTCATGAAGTCCCACTAGAAGAATAGTGTAGAATGGGCTATGTAGTATTCACTGTGAGTTTAAAACCTAGAATCAGTATTTATCAGATATATGACCAGGCACTTCCTTGGCCTATTTGAGACTTGTTTCCTCATTTGATGAGTAAAATTTTGTGAAGAGATTGCTAAGAGGATTTAATAAGATAAAAAATGAAAAATACCTTGTACACTGGCTGACAGGAAATGGAAAAAAGAAAGGCATTTTAAAAATTGCAAGTACATTCAGTGGTACAATTGTTACCCTTTTAAGAAACATGATTCTGTGAAATTATACATTCTTATCAAGCAATTTTTCAGAATGTGACTGGGTGTCTTAACTTAGGCTACCAGTGAGACACTGTGTCCTGGTCACACACGGGCATCTCACCATATGCATGATAGAGTTTCGAAGTGCCAGGTGTTTCTGGAGTCTGAAAAGGTGCAGTACACCTGCACCTTTTTTTGCATTTTTTTGCAGCCTCATATAATTGGTGAATTTCTACATAATGAAAAGGTGCAACTCTGGTGTCAGCTTCCTACAGAAATTTCACTTAGTTCCCTCTTCATCCAAGTCAGGGCTTCCCTAACGTTCTATATATTCTTACATCGCAGCACTGTCCTTATCCTGCTGCCTGTCTCTGTACTCTAATGGAATATGGGTGGTTTTTCTGCTCTTATTTTTATGTCCTCAAGTTGCAACATAACTTCTAGAACAAGAGCTTGGGCACTGGGCTCCTACACCTGCGCTGTCACCTAATTCTCTCTGTGTCCCCTATAGCTGCTTAACCTTTCTCTAGGTCTTGTTTTCTTACCTACAGGATGAAACTACTAGTAACCAGAGCAGTCTTTATGTAAAAAATAAAGATTGTACAAAGAATACCTAACACAAGGCCTTGACCATTTTCAATAAACTGTTGTGGCTATGGACACCATCATCATCATTATCATCACCTTCAAGGAAAAGAAAGCTAAGGACAGCACTGACTCCACATGGTTCAGAAACATGGTTTTGTGCAGTAACTAATACATAAGCCCTGAAGCCAGATTTCCTGTATTTAAACTCTGGTTTCTTTTGTGACATTCAAAAATAACTTATCTTTTCTAAGCATAATCCCTCATGTATAATAAGAAAAAAAATCACATCAATAGTACCTATCTTACAGATAGACACATTATGAAAATTAAAATTATGCCCTCAAAAAATTCACTGTTCACTCAAATATCAAAATATCAGATATTTCAGAAAATTCATCTTATCAGATATAGACCTAGTTTTTGGTTGAGATTTCATGGAGTATTAATACATTTTCATAGATGACTCTTGACTTTCTAAGACATTTTCCCATTTTAGCAATGAGGATTATTAAAGATTCTTGAGAATTATCCTTTGTGGAATTAAAAATTCTCTTCTAGAGATCATTCCTATTTTCAACACAGGGGTCAAATTGATCTTAGAAGCTATGAGAGACTGATGGCCTTGCCAAGTACATAATTTTCTCCTTTTTGAATTTGCAAACCACAGATTCCCAGACTGGATTTCAAATGACATTTCTTTTCAAAGCTCATATGATAATAAATAACTCCCTTGGTCAAACCCCGAAACATATTCAAAACTGGTTAAAAAATGCAGGAGTCTTTAATGCTAATCCACCGAGACAAACTGGGTGACTTCTCAGGCTTTGCTGCCTGGAAAATTAGTTTTCGGTCTCACCTGAAGGTTGACTTTAATTCCATCAAGTTCTCTTGATGTCTTTGTCAGCTGATGGAGGATGTTGGTTCGCTCCTTAAAGACTTCTTTCAGCTGCTTTTCTAGCTCTTCATAGTCCTGTCTAACACAGAAAAAAATCGCATGAGAGCCCCCCAAAAAGTTCCACTGGGGTTCAGCCTCTTTAAACACTATCAAAGGTGCTTGCATTTCAAGCAAAATCTAGATCATTGAAACCTTAATTACTAGGATGTTTTGTTTTTCCTCTTCCACCTAAAAGGAGAAAATTGAAAACAAAACAGTCTTACAACAAAGGTTTTATTTTGCATTAAGTGTTCTCTAAACCACAGAGAAATTCCTGAACAATACCGTCTTTGACAGGTTGAAGATGGTTCATTAGGTACCTCTCGGAAACAGATATTTTCCATGATATCACCACACTTCTTCCTAAGGTCTTTGACATCTCACAACATGAGATATGACCTGAACCAATGTATTTCAAATGTTTAGACAGGTTCTGACACTGGGGAGACATACTTGTGGGTAGAGTCAGGGCAGAACGTGGGGGTCTTGCTTCATCTCTGTAGGTAGGGAGGAAGCCCAGAGAAAAGACAGCCCTTCCCAAACATGTCTAAGAATCTCTATTGCTATTAAAGAGGTAATGGGGAAAAAAAAATTATCTATGAAATCAGTAAATAAATACAGTAATTAGAGTAAAATTTGAACAGACTTGTTAACAAGTTTCATGAAGGAAAGACATTTAACTCCATATCATCTATACATATTTTTTTCTTACTTTTCTCCTATGGTCTTTGTAAGACCAGTATGTAATTCTCATTTTATAAACATAAAATAATTGAGCTCAGAAGGATCGAGTTACTACCCTAAGATCCTATTGAAGGAATAAATGGGCAAGTAGTGTGTGTTTGTGTATATTTATGTATGCTATGGCAAATGTGTGTGTGTACAGGGAAAATGTAGACAAGGAAAATGATTGCTCTACTTGCATTTCTTCCCTTAGGGATCATCTGAGTATGCCTTCTACCCATTCATATTTTGGGTTAGTTTTTGTGACAGCTTGCTGGGGCTGCTGTCACAAAGTAGTACAGAATGGGTAGCTCAAACAACAGAAATTTTTTGTGTGTTACAATTCTAGAGGCTAGAAACTCAAAATCAAGCTGTTGGTAGAGTTGTTTCCTTATGAGGCCTGTGAGGGAAAATTCTGTCTCAGGCCTTGCTCTTTTGGCTTGCAGATCATATCTTTCCCCTACATGTCTTTACATGGTTTTCTCTGTGTGACTCTATGACTCATCTTCCCTTTTTATAAGGACTCCACTCATATTAGTTTAGAGCCCATTCTAGTGACCTATTTTAACATGGTAGCTTCTATCGACACCCATCCCCAGATGATGTTATATCTAAGGGGTGGGGGGACTTCAACATATGAATTTTGGGGGATACAACTCAACCCATAACAGTTATTTCATCTATTGATTTAAAGAAGCTCCTATCCAGTAAGGTTTTTAACTGTCATTATAGTGAATATATTTTCCAAATCTGTTATAGATTTTTACATTTACTAACTCCCCAATTTCTTTTTAAATATACAAGGGGATAAGTCTTTTCCTTTATGGTATGTGTACTGCTCTTGCACAAATAGATCTTCTACATGCCAATACTGTTCTTTAAAAGTGGTTGTGAAGATATATTGGGTAATTGTTGCTAAACTACAAAGTTAATTTTGGAATATATTGTATTTATGTATTTTTCATGTATGTGTATATTAAAAGATGGCAATATAATTTAGATAAGCATAGCCAATTGTATTAGCACAATTGTGACAATCCTTTCTCCACTGATTTTGAAATGAGGTTTTCTGATGTACCAAATTCCTTTTTACTGTATGTTTTGGGACCTCTATTAGGATGTATTGATGAATTGGTTGCAACACTAAATCATGGATTAATTATTAAAGCTGTGTGCTACAATTTGTTACTTCCTATATTTTCCCCTGTTTTTATTCATAGTTTTATTGATAAATTTTCTGTATCTGTGTATTCTCAGTGAATTTTAGAATCAGTTTGTCCATTTCATAAAAACTCCTATAGGGAATTTAATTGAAACTGCATTCATATTATAGTTATATTTAAGGAAATATGTAACAAAAGGGTAGCTTTCAATCCAAAGACAGATGGTTTCATATATTATTTTAGGACTTTTATATGATTCAGCAATGCTTTAAAGTTACTTCAAAGTAACTTTTGCTCATTTCATGTTAGACTTATTGCTGTTAATGTGGTGGATTTTTCCACTCCACTGCCTACATGAATGTTGCTGGCTTCTTTTAAAGCTATTGACTAAGTTGATCTTGATTCCAGGTATCTTATTAAAGAAGAGTAGTATTAAACAAAGTAACTATAACAAGTAGTTGCTAGTTGATTTGTTTGGCTTTTTCAAGTGGACGGCAATATTTTCTTTCAATAATACCATCTCTTATTCTCATAACTCTTATTTTTTTCCTCTTTGCTAATTTTACTGGCTAAGACCTCCTAAACAATGCCAGGTAGAGAAAATGATAGTAGATCATCTAATTTGTTTGTGATTTTACGATAGCTATATTAATTATGTTTCATCAGTGAGTAAATGTATGTGAATACTTGCTGTAATTTTCAGCTGATACTACTGTTTTCAGGTCATTCTTTTTAAATAAGAATTCTGCTGAGTTGTAGCACTTATGCAAAAAAGAACTACACAATCCCCAGGACACATTTCATGAACTCTCATAAAGTGAACATAGAGGAAATTTTAAAAATGAACCATTCTCCCTAGATGACAATTCTTTGACTCCACCCATTTATTACGTTCACTCTCTTCCCCAAATATAACCAATATTTTTATTTCTACTACTTCATAATCACTTGCCTATGTTTGAAATTTATGCAAATGTTGAATGCCTGTTATTTGATTTGTTTTATACAACATGGAGTTTGTGAAACTCGTCCATATTATGTGGAGAAATAGTGTGTTAGTTTTTATCACTGCATAGTATAGTAACGAGTAATTATATTGCAATGCATCTATTTTAATGCCAACAGACACCTTTTTCCCCAAGTTTTGACTGTTATGAATATGAATATTTCATAGGCCTTGTATTTAACATACAAATACATGTATGCCAAGTACATAACTAAGAAAGGAATTGCTTCATTATAGAAAATACATTTTCAGCTTCAGTAAATACTGCCAGAGAATTTTCCAAATCAGCTATATCATAGAAGAGGTGAAGAGTTTCAATTGCCTCAAAGTCTTATAAACTGTGGTATTGTCAGTATTTTTAAATTTTCAGTCACTCTACTGGTTGTACAATAGTACTGCATTTTTAGCTATAATTTATATTTTACTGGTGATCCAAAGTGAGTACCTTACAAAAAATGATATTTAAATATGATATTTTAAAAAATACTTTATTTGAAAGAGAATGAGTGAGAGAGCACACAAGCAGGGAGAGGAGTCAAGGGAAAGAGAGAAGCAGACTCCCCACTAAGCAGGGAACCCAACCTGGAGCTCAAACCCAGGATCCTGGGATCATGTCTTGAGCCAAAGGCAGATGCTTAGCTGACTCAGCCACACAGGCGCCTTAAATATTATTTTTTTATAAAATGTCTGCTCATGCCTTTTGCTTTTTGTGCATTGGTTTGCCCATTGCTTATTATTTATTTGTAGGTGATATTTATATAGTCCATACATGAGCTCTTTGATGGTTAAGTGTATTGAAAACATAATTATCTCCTGCTGTTGGAATTTTAAATCTCTTAATGGTGTCTTCTGATGAATACACATTAATAATATAAGTATAGATCAAATTATTCATCTTTTATATTCAAAGTTGTTCACTGGAGTTGTACCACTTAAATTTGTAATTGTATGAAAAATATTTTTATCTGATTATAAATATTATATCTTACAAACTTTTAAAATGATATGTTGCTAGCATATTAAAACATGGATTTTTGTATGATTTTGCATTCAGCAAATTATCAACTATAAAAATTATTTGTGGAGCATTTTGTATTTTCTTACAAGTATAATCATATTGTCTGCAAAAGTATTTTTTATTTTTTCCATCCTTAAGTCTTTTACTTAAATTCTTTATCTTACTTTGCTATCAAGGACCAAGGACTGTTCTACAATGTTCAGTAAAATGTGTAATAAACACATCCTTTGTTTATTCCAAATTACAGGGATAGAGACACCTTTTTCTTATTCCAGACTGCAGGGGGAAAAACTTTCAAGACCACAAATATGGTATTTCTGATAGGCTTTTATGGTTAACTTTTCAATTTTTTAAAATCAGATATAAAAAATGTTTTCTTTTATTTCTGGTTTCTAAATCTGTTCAGTTTTAATCATGAGTGGGATCTGAATGCTGTCCAATATTTTAGGTTTTTTTTTTTTTTTTCTTTTTTTTCATTGTGGTGTATGTTATTTGCTTACAGCTCTTCTGTTCCTCCCACCCTTGGCCACATTACACATGTAGGCAGGAGAGAACCCCCCACACCATTCATTTGGTCATGTGACACTTCAACAGAATATTAATGGACAGGACACGTTGAAGACTGTAAATGTTGTCTGTCTAATTTGGCTTAGTTTCTCATTCTCCTGCTAATGGCCCCATGAAGAAATTCCCCCAGATAACTCCCGCAACTTCAGGCTTCTTCAGAAAGAAAACATATACAGCAAACCTGAATTTGATTCATACTCTGAAGCAGACACACCCTAGTGATGCTTCAACATGAGTTGAAAACTAAATTTGATTTTAAGCCATAAATCAGACTTTCAGAGTAATTTGTAATGTAGCAGTGTCACAGGAAAAACTGGTCTCACAAATGTATCCACTGAGATGATCACATACATTTTTTTCTTTTACACTATTGATGTGCTGGATTATATGGATTCATTTCATATATGATTAATGACTACATTAAATCAAACTCTCATTACGGAAATCAATAATTTTGTTTGTTATATACAATTCTGTTAGATTCATTTGGTTACTATTTTGTTTAGGATTTTTACAGTTATTGTCATGGGAGAAATTTAGTTATAATGTCCTTTGTCCT